CCCACACCCTCGTGACCCCTTGATAGATTATAGATTATTTTTATTTTCATATCTCACATCAACCACTGTCTCCCTTTCCCCATGATTTCTGTTGTTCTTTCTTTTGGAGGGGAGTGTGTGGTTATGTGTCAATCATTGTGATTGGTTCCCCTTTCCTCCCTTCCTCTCTCCCACTTCCCCCTACCTTTCTGGTATCACTATTCCTATCCCTGTTTCTGGATTCTGTATGTTGTGAGCTCTTATCTCTTATCTATACGTGTGTACATGCTTTGGTATAGTCTGAAAGTATTTAATATTTGTATGACGATTGCAAATGGTATTTTTGTTAGTCTGGGTTGACTAGAGAAACATATATGTGTAAGAGAAAGCTTTATTTGGAAGAGTAATTGTTTATTAAGAAAGCATCCCCACCCAATTCAGATCATGTCCATAAGTCTGATATTAGCCCCCAAGTCCGATAATAGTCCATAAATTCCTCTTCAGACTCACGCAGCACATGCAATGATTCCCTATGCAGGAAGATCACAGGCCAGTGGGTGAAACGTCTTGTGGATCAGTGGCAGTGGAAGCATCTCAGCTCTGGTACAGGTCTCTACGTGTTTCCTCCAGTTCTCCACGTGGCTTGTCAACAGGAGGGTGAAAGCAGAGAGAGAGAGAGAGAGACTCACTGCTTCTGATGGCAGAATCCAGAGAGAAGTTCCTGGAATTCTCATGAGAAGGTCACACCTACAAGGAAGCATCACCAGGCCGTGACCTGATTGATGAGTTAGAATCCACCCCCTCACTCTTAACACCCTCAAATTGACAGGAGATTATGTAACTACCACAGTATTGTTTTCCTGATGTCTTTTTCTGAGCTCTCTTCATTAGTAAACAGAAATCTGACTGATTTTTTTTTTTGCTTGTTAATCTTGTATCCTGCCAGATTTCCAAATCTTTCCATTGTTTCCAAGAATTGTTTTGTTCAGTCTTTGGAGTTTTCTACTTATAAAACCAGGTCATCTACAAATAGTGAGAATTCTACTTCTTTGCTCATTTGGATTCCTTTGATTTCTTTTGTTGTCTAATGGTTCTGCCTAAGACGTCCAAGACTCTGTTGAGTAAGAGTAATACTGGGGGGAATTCTTGTCTGGTTCCCACTTATAGGGGAAATGCTCTAAGTATTTTCCCATTGAGCGAGATGTTGGTCATTGGCCTTTCGTATGTGGCCTTTATTGTATTGTGAAATTTCCCCTTTGCACCTCTTTTGTTGAGTGAGTATTAGATGTTCTTAAATGACTCTTCTACAATGATGGATATGATCATGTGGTTATTTTTTGTTGTTGTTTTGCTTATGCGATGAATTATATTGATTGTTTTTCTAATGTTGAACCATCCTTTGTGTACTTGGTATAAATCCTACTTTTGGCCAGAATTTTTTCAGCTATGCTCATAAGGGATATTGGTCTGTAGTTTTCTATCCTTGGGGTATTTTTGTCTAGTTTTGGTATCACCGTTATGTTCTGTGGTAGTTAGATGATTTTATGTCAGCTTGAATTTTATGAGCACACAGGGAGAGGTGGGAAGAGGTAAGGACAGGAAGGTTGGGAGGTCGGGTATGTGGGAAAATTAAAGAAGAACAAGAAAGACCCACACAATTCACAGATATAGGGCTCTAGGGGGACACTCACAGTTTTGATGAGATGGGCTATGCAACTACACATAAAATGCTTTTCTTTATATGTGTCATATTCCACAAATTAAAGCGAATTAATAATAATGAATGAATAAAATGTATTATTTTTTTAAAGAGAAGGATCATAGTGTTAAAAACCCTACAGATTCCTTAATCATCAGACCTAAACACTGGTCTGGGTGGTTCTCAAAGGAGGAAAAGTAAAATGGAGACTGATTTTTATTCTTTATTGACACCCAAACTAGTTTTAAATAAAGAACCAAAAAAGTGACTAAAAGATATGAACAGACAAGCCACCAAAAATGACATTTAAATAGCTAACACACACATGAAAAAAATGCTCATGATCACTAGCCATCTAGGAGATGTAAATCAAAAGACAAATGGGTTATCACCCTACCCTGGCAATGATCATCAAGTTCAAAAAACTGAAAACAACAAAAGCTGAAGCGTGTGCAGAGAGTGGAACTCTCACACCCCATTGGTGGGCCTGTAAACAGGTACAACTATTGTGGAAAACGATATGATGCTACCTAAACAACTAGCAATCTAAATGCCACACTATCCCAGGAATACCTTTCCTGGGTGTATACACTAGGAAACCAAGAGACAGAATACGGACTTACGTGTACACGCTCATGTTCATGGTAAAACTGTTTACAATAGCAAAAAAACTGGAAACAGCCCAAAAGCCCATCTGCAGAAGAATGGCTAAAGCAAGTGGTACATGCATACCATGGATACTATGCATCATACAATGGATACTATGCATCATTAAAAAACATCAATGAAACTACTAGGAACCTCAGGGCATGGATGGACCTGGAGAACATTGTACTAATGGAAGTAGTCAATCTTAAAAGGACAAATAACATGTGCAACTGAGTTCCAGACCTTCTTTGGAGAAAAGCAAACAATTGCTGACAGAAAGAACCAAAGAAAAGAGCGGGGGAGGGAGGGGGCAGGGGGAGTGAGGAAGCTGTGTCTTCTCAAGCTGCCGTTTGAAATTTTCTGTTTAGCTTTTACTTCATCATTTCTTCCATTTGTCTACAATTAAGAGCAAGTTTCAGAGTCTCCTCTGCCACCTACCTTGATCTTTTCTTTCCCTCCAGTTTTTATAAAAAGACCTTTTGCTTCTTTATGTCCCCTCATCAGGTCTTCTAATGTTAGTGTCCAGTGCATCAAAACTATTTTTGAGATGTTCTTGAAATTTGTATGGGGTATCCTTAAGGGCATATTTTGGCTCCAGGAGACTTGTATAATTTTCTTCAATTTCAACTGAGTGTGATTACGTCTGAGCAATTGATGGTCTGGTTTAGCTGCTGATATTGAGCTTCTCATGGTCTCTTCTCACAGATGTAGTCAATTTGATTTCTGTGTATTCTATCTGGAGAAGTCCATGGGTATAGTAGACTATTGTAATGTTTAAAAAGGTATTTGCAACGAAATCATTGGTCTTGACAAATTCTATAATCCCCATATTGGTTTATATCATCAAGACCATATGTTGCAACTACTATTCCCTCCTCTTTGTTTCTGACTTTTGCATCCCAGTTGTCAATAATTATCAATGCATCTTGATTGCATGTTTGACCAATTTCAGACTGAAGACATAGGCAGAAGTCTTCAATTTCTTCATCACTAATTTTAGTGGTTAGTGCATAAATTTGAATAATAGGTTTGATTGGATTTCCTTGTGTATGCGAATAGACATTATCTTACACAGAGAGCATTGTCTTTCAAGATAGAACTTGAAATGTTCTTTTTGATGATGAATGCAAAGTCATTCCTCTTGATTGTGTACTTCTTCGCATAGTAAACCATATGATTTTACTAAAAATGGCCAATACCAGTCCATTTCAGCTCACTAACTCCTGGAATATCGATCTTATGAATAATTTCATGGTTAACAACAGCCAATTTCCCCCAAACTAATGTTTTGTACATTCCAATTACTAATGGATGTTTGAAGCTGTTTCTTCTCATTTTGAGTTTTGCTCCACCAGCAAATGAGGGTTCCAAAGGCTTTACTTCCACAGGCTTTACTCCATCCGTGAGTCATTGTGGTTAACTCTACTTAGAGAAAGCAGCCCTTCCTCAGTTATATTTTGAGCTAATAAGGATATTAGCTACAGGCAATCAAGTGGAAATCATGGTGATTACAGGAAGGTGGATTGAAGGTCAGCAGGAACACGGATGTTGCCAATATCTCCTAGTGCTGGTGGTACCTTTGAGCCACTGGGTCCAATAGATGCAGGGTTCAGGCAAACAGGATCATGAGGAAGGCCAAGACAGAGAGATACCAGTTCTCTACACTGTCTCTTATAAAAGGCCATGCACCCTAAGAGACATCATCAGGATGCTACCTGATTGATAAATTGGATTCCACCTTTACTTTCACACAGATGCATCAAGTTGACAAAAAAAAAAATCATACTAGTCCTTCATTATCTATTTGATTCCCTAGCAACTTTATCAGGTAAGTTACTACCTGATCTTAATGAATCTGTTAGATCTTAATGACTCTGTTATACTTAATATGGTCGACAGTTGTTGACCAACCCACCCAAGTCCCCCTCCCTCCAAATCCTATGGATCTGTTCCATTCTTCAAACATGGGTTACCGTGAGTTGAGATCTAACTATGTCAACTAACAACAATAACTTTATCTGCCAGCTCCATCTCAAAATCCTCATAGATCTTTAGGAAGTTCAGACTTCTTTCCATCAAGGAGAGAATGTAACATAAGTGAGAAAACATGGTTTCTGTGTATGCACCCCAGGCTGTTTACTTCTTCATAGCAGGCTGAGATTCATTAGCCCATAGAAGCCTGTATGCAGCAAAGTTAATTTTTAGATATCCAATGGTTCTAAAAATAGCCCCACTGACTGGAGGTATAGGTGATTAGAGCTTGCCTGCCTTGTGTGCCGTGAGAAACTAAACCCAACAACTTTTAGCCATTTGTTGTTAGTTGATATAGATCCCACTCATGGTCACCCATGCCTGCAGAGTGGAACAGATCCCTAGAGGGATCTTTGTTGTTGTTGCTGTTTGTTTTCTAAACTGGTACTTTAAACACTATCTCTAAGTCCCACAATAACCTTCCAGGAGATTTCATTGAATCTTTTATTGTTGTTTTTTTATATGCAACATTTTAAAAATTGTAAGTTAGATGTAAAGATTTACAGTCTGAGGAACCCACAGGGGCAGTTTTACTCTGTCCACTAAGGTTTCTATGTGTTGAAATCAACTTAATGGCAGTGATTTTTTTTTTTAAGTTTTGAGAAATCCCTGATACATGTATCCACAGTTTCTGCAATATAATAAGGAGCTATGAAGGCACAGTGGATAAAGCATTGGGCAGCTAACTGAAAAGTTGGTGGTTTGAATCCATCAGTAGCTCCTCAGGAGAATGATAAGGCAGTTTGCTTTCTGTAAAGGTTTACAGTCTCAGAAACTCTATGGAGCCATTCTATTCTGTACTGTAGACTCTATATATACAGCCAGAATCAATAGCAGTGGATAGTGGATAGAATACAGTAGAAATCCAGCCAATATTTGTAAAATGAATCTGGAATTTCAGGTAAATGCTAGAAATAAGTATAATAAAGTAAGGGAATGACGATTGGCAGTGGTGGAGCCATCTTTGATACAGTGGGTCTCCCATGTCTAAAGGTCAGTCTTGCTTATGGTAGTGTCTGCTTGCCCAACCTAATTTTTAATTCTCCCTTATTAGAAGCTATTAAAAGTAGTTCATTTTGGAGTTGGACAGACCTAGGCTTAGATCCTCTTGCCACATCAGAGTTTTGTGACCTGACTCAGTCTGAAGGAAAATAAAACCTTCAAGGTCATTGAGTTAGTTAGTTTACTGTGCCAACCTGGCCAATAAACACATGTGGGGTTAATTGAAAGGCAGAGGGATAAATGCCTCAATGAGCCTCCCCTTTCGAGTTCTCAGGTCTCTAGCTTTCTGATGGTCGGACCAGGGTGCAGCTGCCTCGGTCAGTTCTCTGCTTTATCTGGCAAGGTTCACTTCCTGCAAGACATCCCTGAGGAGAAGCCACATGGACCTACCCCAATGCAGCCCTGGGT